TGATATGCTAATCATGAGAAATAATTCAAACATTATTACATCTACTAAGAAAATGTTGATAAAACATTTTGACATGAATGATATGGGAGTTGCTGACGTAATATTCGGGATTAAAATCTCTAAGCCCCTTGACGGTTTGTCATTGTCTCAATCACATTATATTGAGACTATATTTAATAAGTTTAAGGCGTATGATGATAAACCAGTTAAAACACCATTAAACTTAAGTTTACACTTAGCCAAAAATACTAGTGAATTCGTAATACTAATGAATTCGTATTTCAATTAGAATATTTACACATTATAGGTAGCTTGATATACATTGCCAACTGCACGCATCCCGATATAGCATATGCAGTCAACAAGTTGAGTAGATTTACAAGTAATTCAAGTAATGACCATTGGAATGCATTAACTCGAGTTTTTAAATACTTAAGACACATGGTTGGTTATGGATTACACTACTCCAGATATCACGTTGTGTTAGAAGGATATACCGATGCGAATTGGATATTTGATACAAACGATTCAATGTCTACAAGTGGTTATATATTTACCATTGGAGGCCGAGCTGTGTCCTAGAAATCATCTAANACAAAGAGAACATACCCTAAAGGTTCTGTTTGAAAACATAATTTTTTTTAAACTACAATCTGGAGATACCCCAAATGATTATTCAATCAGAAAGTGATCATCTAAATCATAAGAAATAAACCAGTGTTCTAAAAGGCGTAATGCGTTGCGATGCGTCGAGGTCGAGAATCAAGAATCACAAGTTTAGGCGTGTCAATGCGAAGAATAAGCGTCATAATGCGTTTCGTATTTTTAATATTATTTTAATTATTTTAAGTCATTAAATATATTTTTATATAAAAAATAATTTTTTTTACTATATCATAAAAAAATAGATTTTTTACTGTATCATAAAATCATTTAATATTTTAAAATAATACTTACTAAAGCCTCCATCTTTATGCTTCTTTGTGTTCTTTGCAATTTTCTTTTTCTTGTTTAAGTAATAAAACAAGTTCGTTAATTGAAGGTTTGATTCAATTTGAGATTTTCAGCGGTTGCACGGTGAACTATCTATATTTGGATTTTCATGACTAATTTTCCATCTTTATATTTTTTTCCCCTATTTTTTTTATTTGGTTTATCATTATTTGTTTGTTTCTTGAAAAGTAAAAGCTACTTTTTCAGGATAAATTCAGAGTGCATCTTCTTCAGCAAGACTATCCGTTGTACTGAGTTGTTTTCGAATACCTTTAGAAAACTTAAACTGTCAGCTAATTAACTAAGAATGGCGAAAAATAATTGAAATTAGACAGATCACTACTGGAACTGCTGCGACTAGGATCCCCTTAACCCCTCAACCAATAGCTACTAGGTATCCCTCAAACTTGTGGTCTAACCAGTTAACTACCTGTGATTATTCATATACACCCAACGGATAAAATTCTTGACCGAAAGAATTAAGAAGAAAATTTCCCCACTGCATAATATTGTATCCTCCATTATAAATATAAAAGTAAAAACTGAGTGCAGAAACCCGAAACACAAGACTAACCCAGATCTTGTCCTTGAAATCAAGCTTGGAGTTCTTTGGATTCCGACTGCTTTTCCAAAGATCACATGAATCACTGCCAATCACATGAAAAAATTGAATCCCCATATTTGTTAACAAAGGAGAGAATCCCTCCAAAGGGGAATTAAAACCTATTTGATTGTTCCAAATTCAGTTGATGATTTTCCCCAAATACTACCACAGTCCACGTCAAAGTTATCCCACATCGGAATCTAATAGGTTAAGGACAAGAAATTATGTCTATAAAATAATGGGCCAAGAAGTCTTTCATATGCTTGCTTTCTGGGCCTGTCATTTTGATGGGCTGAAAGCAGAATAATTGGTCGCCTTTGTGTGCACTGTAGTGCCTTTGCGTGCATTGTTGAGGTCAACGCTCGTTGACCGCATTTTCCCACGCATATGGGGTATGCGACGCGTTTCCAAAACGCCTTGGGCTTATGCACGCCTAAGCGGCGCATTGAGCCGCCTTTTTGAACACTGATATATTGTGATAATAATATATATAATGGTAAATCTTGACATATTTGTCGGTGACATAATACTATTAAATAGTTGATATCAAATGATATAATCTTGATTAACTACGTTAAATCGAACGAAAACATAGCAGATCATTTGATGAAAAGACTTACAAGAGATCAAGTATACCATTTCGAGGGAAATGAGCCCAAATCCTATCGAATGAAATCACCATAGTGAATACCCAACCTTGTAGGTTGGAGATCCCAAAATCTTGGTTCAACGGGACAACTAAATTATGAAAAATTCAGGGTATAACACTTATTCCCATTCTTACAAACCGAAAGTACTAGAATAATAAGTGTATAAGGAAAAGTGTGTACTTTTAATAATTTCTATATCTTGAAAATAGACAAGAGATGTAGGAGATCACTTATATAAGTGTGAATTTCTACGAGAATTTGAGACTTAAAATTCTCTTAAAGCACTGATGAAACTAAGAGTTGTTCAGGACCAAAATGAACACAACCAGAAGAGCCGAAGTGGTTAGATGAGTTATGGTGTCGGTATAGGTGTTTTGATTTACACAAACGGTTAAATGGTACAAGACATCGCGTTGACCAATTAGTTTAGTAAATTTGGTTGTATTTAACTAAGAAAGATTCAAAGCCACAAGTCACCTATGCTAATACTATAGCGTGTCATATGTACTCGTTTGTTGGAGTCTGAATTATGTGAAATATACATTCATGTAGGGGATTGTTGAAATTGGTTAAGTATAAAATATGGATCGTGTCAACTTCAGCCAAATATCCGAACTTGATCCGATAGTCAAATTATGAAAATAAATAGACGAACTTGTTCTACTTTTCGAGTAGATCGTTGTGATATATTTGGAATGTCAAATCAAATTTCGAGTGAATGAGAAATTACGGTCCAAAGTTGGAAAGGAAAGAGAGGAAAAACTCGCTAAAAATTATCTAATTTCGATGCTCGCCTAGCGCTTGAGCGGTGAGGATATCGTTCGAGCAATAGTCGAACGACGATCTCTCTGTTTTTGCCATTCGAGTGACACACGGGTGACATGCGAGTAATAGCAAAAGCTGCGACCCTTGGTAAAGGTTGCTAAGCTTTCAAGCACGTCTCTTCACTCATAACCTCATATCCTCTATAAATAAGATCATTGGGACATCCATTACTTCATCCCAATTATATGCAGTCATAGCATAACATAAAAATTCATATTTTATTAGCCGAAATTCTACATAAAAAATCTTTTTTTTTTTCCATTTCATTCTGAACAAGTACAAAAGCCATATTTTTGGTTTGTTGTCATTGTGTTTTGGAGTGCTACAAACACAAGAACTTAGTCGTTGTAACTTGAAAGTTGATTGCTATCATCCGTAGGAACCGTTGCGGGGCAAAATTGATTTAAAGATAAAGAGTTCAACTCTTACCTCGACTTTTCATCATTTCTCTTGGGGTGTGTTTGAGCCACATTATTTTGGAAGAATGTATTTTGGAATAGTAGATTGATGGAGAATGTGTTGTTGAAAATGAATAAAAGAATGAGAATGAAAATTTTAATGTGGCTCAAACAAGGGCTTGGTGTTACTTTTTCCTATTCATTAGCCTTTTTTTTTTATGTTTTATTATTCATTTCTTTACCATTACTCTGTCCAATTTTGGTAAAGTTGGTAAGTTCAATTTTGATTTTAAAGTCATCACTTAAATCCATTTTTATTGTCAACAAAAAAAATCATGAACCGGTGTATGGCAGTTCATGACCAGATAGAAGCCTCATTACAAGATCTTTCAAGGATAGGTGATGCGTAAGCTTGCAAAGCAGCACGCAAAGCTGCTAACAGTTAGTTTGCTGAAGGATCTATCGAAAGAGTTGAAACCCTTGTTGTCATTCTTGCAATCTTCCGACAAATTGTTCCTATTTTACCTAAGGTTCGTGTTCTATCTATTTGATTTTTTTATCATTAGAACCGGTTGTATCTAAGACTAAAATTGAAGAATCTAAAATATTGTTTATTATAATATTTTACTCTTATCATATTGCATATCAAATATGAATCACATGTTTGTGCGTAGGGAAAAGAGTAGAATCGTGAACTTAACACCGTGTGGTCTTATTAGCTTTATTGCCTCATATGTAGGTGGACGATCTGATTGCCAAGGAGAAGGAGCTACAAGAGAAACTAATGCTGAACCACTCCACAGTGGTAGATTGTTATGAGAAGAAATTTGGGGAACGAGAAACTGAGAATCGCGTTGCTTCAGCACAACATAAAATTGTACCATTGGGGCAGGAAGTTGATGATCTTCTTGAAATAAAATTGATGAGATCTAATCTAGGAAGAAAATGATGACTTTCCTAGAGTTAAACCTAACTCGACCATCCATCATTTTCTTTGTATTGGTTGAGACAAATTTTGTTTGTAACTCAAAGAACATAAATAAGGGATACAAATTTTGTTTATGATTGTTATGAATAACTTTATTCTTGTTATTTGATATATTAATTTTCTGTAATTTTGTTGCTTCAAATAACAAGTTGTCACGTAGTGCTGTCGTTGACTATAAATAACCTTACTCATTAAACAATAATTTAAATAGGATTAATTTATATTTGTTGATAACAAGGTACATTAAATAATGGTATATTAAAAAATTAAAAAATAATAGCTTGTCACTTGGGATAGATGAAAACGAAAATTAAGCAATACTAAAATAAGTTATATATTTTATTTCTAAATCTCACAGTAAAAAAAAAATAATAATAATAATAATTATTTACTAGAAAAATTGCAATGAGTGGAATTTTATTTATTTATTTTTTTAATCGCGTCTCTCTATTGTGAGCTGTAGAGCGAAGCGTTGGTTTGTGTCCGCCATATCTATATAGGGCTGTAGAATTAGGGTTTTGTTAATTGGACAAGAGGGGATAATGGAGAGCTCACTTAGGTATGGCGGAGACTACAAATCCCTGAGAATCCATGCCAAGGAAAAGTACCCCATCGTCACCGACTCCAATATTCTATTGCAGGTCTGTCCATCATTACTTACATATGACAATTTCGTTTACATATCAATAGTTTGACTGAATATGCGTTATATACATATGTAGCTCTTCAATTTTGAGCATTATGCTTACTTATGGGTGATGTTTTTAAGCTTAGCCATACCTGCTCTTATCCCAACTGTTTTGGATTCTGGTTCGGTAATCAGCGTCGATTCAGAAGTTGATTTATTGTTAGTTCTTTTATCAAAAACACGATGTCAAATTAAAATTCTTAGTTTTGTATTCTTATAGCCTTCCACCAATGATATATATTGTCGGCTATAGATGTTTTAGAGTGAGCTTATTGGGACGGGAAATGGCCATTTGTTAAATCATAAATGAGGTAGGATGTTTTTATCCCTAAAAGGTAAAGAAAAAGGAAAATGAAGGAATATGTAATGAGCATTATCAGTATGACTTGTTTCTTATCCAATGAAAAAGTGTGCGTTTCTATCTCTCAATGGATTTCTGTTGTAAGACTGTATTATTTCTTTGAATTTCGTTTTATTTTACCCTCAAAAAATGTTTCTGAGACCAAATGTAAGTTTCTGGCAGTATAATGTGTCTGTTTGATTGACTGTGAACTACTATTGTATATCATATATCACTAAAGGGAATAACTTTGTTGATATTCATATTGTCACTATTAGTGTAACTTGATCTTTATTTTTAACCTTACGAGTTTCTTGAACTCTTTTTCCTTATGGACATGTTCATTCATATTGGCAGCTTCATGGAGAGCTAGACACAAGGCTTGGAGCTCCAACTTATCTTAGTGCAATGATAAGGCATTTTTATCCTGATGTACCCACTTTTCTTTTCTTTGTTTTCCTTTTTCTACAATTGAATCGAGGATAAGACCATCCTCCCCTTTCCTATCCCATTATAGAGAGAGGGGAAACAAGAAAGAAATATTAGGATTGGATAAATTTTTGTTGCTGAATGATTTTAGATTAATATAATTAATGATGACATATAGATATCAACCAGCATTGGCACCGGTGTTCAATACACTAGGCAAGACAAGTTAAGGTACAGTGTTCGTGGAAAGAAGACATTTCCAGTGACTGACAATGGGTTGATAAACTTTAACATCAAAGGTCGATTTATTATTGACAAGGAATTTAAAAAGGTTGGAATTTCTTTCCTTCTGCAATGCATGTGCAAATGTGAGACTATTGATTCTCCCAATTATTCACAAAAGCACAAACACAACTATATACATGGACCTATTTCATTATTTTTAGTTACATGAGCAATTTGTATATCGCAATGTTCTTGCAGAGGGAGTCCCAAGGAGCAGCTGAACTTACTTGGTACATCTTCAATTTTAAAAAAGACCAAGATTTGAGGTTCAAGGTTGGCTATGAAGTCATTGATAAGGTATATTACTTGACACTGTAAGGATTTTGGAACTTATATTGATGCAAAGTTGGTCATTTTGGTCAGCATTCATTTCATGATTTAATAACTGACGAAGATTGATCCAAATCTTGAATTTATACATTTCTTGAGAAACAGTGTCCTTGTGCCATCTCTGTCTTCCTTGATTTAAAATGTCTTTCTTATCCTAGATTTCTTAAAATTCAGGGGAGATTTTAAATTGCATTTTTCCTTTTCTCTTTTATCTTTTGGCATGAAGAGTGGATTCAGAAGGAAAAGGGATTAAACAATGGTTTGAGGGTGACTAATTATCTGTGAAACTCTCTCAAGGATAAGTGCATTCTACTTGAAAGATCCTAGTGGTGGCAATTTGTAAATCACATTTTACTGGCACAATAATGTCCATTTTGGATCCATGCTACAAGTTTCCTTGAGGAATACTAAAGATTTTATGTTAGGTGTACCTTCACTTGCTTCTATTTATCTGATATACTACTGATTATAGCGTAGTTCGACAGTGGGTTGAGGAGATATAGAACAAACTGGAGGAAAAAGATTCCCAATTACCATCTTCAGTCTTGTTAGTTCATGACTTTACGCTACTTTTTAAATTTTCTTAGTCTTGGACAGTAACATCTTTTCATTAAAATAAGCCGATTTATTTAATACTTCCAAATTTTCAAATAATCAAATTTGTTTCCGATATCGAAACTAATTATTTTCTCTGTGGTTTCCATAATAGTTTAATGATTTATTTGTTGTTCACTGATATATTTTCATTACCTCACTGAATCTATCGTTGTTATTCCAGATTCCGTACTTCCAGATTAAGGAAAATAATTGGACGTTCAATGCTGACAGTAAAGGCAAATGGAATCTGAGATATGACTTGTGAGAAGGAAATTTTTAACTGCATAAAGGTGAGATGTCAATTGGTAGCAAGTAGGATTTTCCCTTCATCATATTTTACTTGTGATACTATTGGGAGGTGTATGATTGTATGCTGTATGTTCTCTGAATATGATGTCATTGATATCTGATAAACATATGTGAACCGATTAACATTAACTTGTCCGAGTTTTTATATTTCATACATGTTTTGGTAGTAATACATGGTTTCAATTAGGCCTTATTCTCTCGAGAATGTAACTATGGGTATCATTTAAGCCCGTATTGTTTCTTTTCTTTTAATGCTAAATATGAAGATTATATTTAGGGAACGTTACATATTTAAGGTGGTTAAAATATACCATTTCAAAATTAAGAAATAAGTTTTAAAACTTCAAAAACTAGGTTATAATTATATTTTATTAATTAAATAAATAATAAAAAATATTTTATTAACAAGATATAGCAAAGTCAAAATACCCTTTATCTTATTTTTTTGGCATTTCACCCTTATTTTTATCTTTCATTGCCAAAAATGTCATTTCATCTGCTTATCGTCAATTGCTCCATTAATTTAATACAAAAAGACAAATTTCTTTTCAAACTTTAAGGGTAAAATAGTTTTAGCACATTTAACATATCCTTCTCGCCTTCAAATTCATCTCACAAGTAACAGTAGCGGGAATATAAAAATAATTTTTGAAATTATTATATTAAATAAAGAAAAAATGGCGTAAAGAACATTGTATTTCATAACAATGGCTATTGTAATGGTGTAATACTGATAAAATTTAGAGGGGTATGCTGGAGAATTCAGATGATTGTACATTTGTCTTGGAGCATTAAGGGATGGGTTCATTAGGGACTACAGAAGGGTGATTGGGTTTGATGAAATACAATGTTTTTAAAATCATTTTTCTTTATTTAATGTAATAATTTTATAAATTATTTCTTATTGACGTTAGCGTTCTTATGGAATAACTATTTTGACGCGGGAAAAAGGAGTTAAATGGGTTGAGATTATTTTATCCTTCGTGTTTGAAAAGAAAATCAACTTTTTGCATTGAATTAATTGAGCAATTGAAGGTAAGTGGATGGAATGATATTTTTAGTAATGAAAAATGAAAATAAGGGTGAAAATACCAAAAAAAATAAAAATAAATAAAAGGTTGAAATGTTTCTCATAATAATATTGAAATGTATGGACATTTTGTACTAATTAATCTAACTTTTTGTATTGAATTAATGGAGCAGCTAATGGGAAGTGGATGGAATGACTTTTTTGGCAATGAAATGTAAAAACAAGGATGAAAATCTCAAAAACTAAAAGGCAGGGGCGTTTTGCAGAATAATATTGAAATGTAGGGATATTTTGTGCTAATTACCATATTTTGAAATTGTATTTTTATAGGTGTGATAGTTATGATTGTTTCCCCCACTTTAATTCTATGCATCACATTCTTTCTAAGTTATCATTTTGTCATAAAAGTTTCAACCATAGGCCTAAATCGAACGACACATTAGAATAAAGATGAAACAATTATATTAATTTCACTACATTCTTATTCTTATTCTTATTCTTATTGTGACTAAAATAATATTAAAAATATTTTCATCTTAATTCCACTTAAATTTTAAATCCTTAAAAAGAGTGCGTTAGGTCGCATACCAGATAAAATTAAATAGTATAATGATATAATTCTAATAATTAATGCCTCGTTTGTCAGTTGTTGATTTAGTTGTTGATTTTTATGTACATTTGGCTAATCATTAACTAATCTAAACATTGTAATAGTAATGGTTGTTTCTCCAGTTCAAGAAAATTTAGTCCCTGTATGAGTCCTAATTTTTAAGAAGAATATTTGTAAAAAGTAATTTTTTTGAATGATATGTAGTTAAAAAGTGAGGGTTTAGTGGACGGAAGAAAGAAAGGAAATTACAGAACGGGGCAATGAGATAAATGGATGGAAAATTCTCCTATGTGCGAAAGTTTTGAGTTTACAAGTAAAATTATTTTATTAAAAAAATATGTTGTTGAAATTGAGTTTGAAAAAAAAAAAGAATTTTAAAAAATAATGCCGAAAGTTAATAAAAAATTGTGAAATAATGATTGCAGTCGATGTTTTGGAAAAGTTTGTTATAGTGGAGAGAAAGTGTGTCCGAACAAAGACTCATTCTACTTCTCAAAACCTCAAACATGTTATCATAATACTGCTTTCTTAACTACTAAAAAGCGGTATTTCTGCTTTTAAGAATAATTGAAATATTGAATCTAAAAATAGCATTTAAAAAATATATGTCCATGACACTTGTTCTTAGCTGTTTGGCTTGTAAATCGTATCTGACTTATTGCCTTAGGTATTGGCACTAAATCTTTCAATGTAGTTGCGAAAAGTAAAAATAAATAAGCTGAGTTTTGTACAAAAATGTAAGGGTTAATTTCACAAATGGTCACTGAACTTACCTAAAAATTATGAAACGGTCACTGAAATTTAAAATTTGTAGAAACGGTCACTGAATTTTCATGCTCTTTCACAAACGGTCACTGAACTTACTATTAGGACTATTATGATGTTAATTCAAACTTAAAGAACCAAAACATATGGGCATAGAAGCTTGAGGACCTCAAGTGCAAATTCCATTCCCATCCCAAAACGGTCGACAATGCACATTTCGACGACAACCATGTTAAGCCCAATATACTGGTCNTGGTTGATTCTCCTCTTCTAGGTGACCCTATCCATAGCCTCCAATCAACAAATAATCAACTCCATCAAAATCAGAAAGATCCGTTCGCGTTGCATGCCACTGCACATTCTTCATCTTCTGATTTCGACGTCGGTGGTGGGACCCATGATCGCGGACCACCACCTCAGGCAACTACTCCTCCTGGCGCATCCATTGAGTGCATGGGTCTTCCCCAATTTGGTTTGGAACCGGCGATTAACGTTGGGGCAGCTCGAATGCATCTCGAGCCACCTGATACCCTTTCAATTGACGCTTCTCCATAGCTCCAATCAACAAATTGGACCAACCAGAATGAAATTCATGATAAAATTGCCTTGGGTAAGGATTCAAATGCTGCATTTCATCAGTCAAAAGAAATAATTTTGGATTTGGCTTCAAGAACGGTCCGCCCACGTGAATTTGAATTTCATCCATCAATTGGAAGCTCAAATGTGTTTCAAGATACAAATCAATATGGGGGAATTGAAATTCAAGCTCAAAAAATATTGGGTACTCAATCAATTGCAGAAATTACAGCTCTCATTTGTCAAATTTCGGGGTCGAATTTAGGCCAATTTGAGCAGAATTTCGGCCAAATTTGCACTTGAGGTCCTCAAGCTTCTATGTCCAAGCGTTTTGATCATTTAAGTTTGAATTAACATCATAACATTTCAAATAGTAAGTTCAGTGACCGTTTATGAAATCGCATGAAACATGAGTGACCGTTTTGTAATTTTTAAGTAAGTTCAACGACCGTTTGTGAAATTAACCCAAAAATGTAAACATCTATGTAACCAATAGTAAAGAGCTACGAGTTTGCTCACTAATTTTGGACGTTAATGCCACCAAATCCAACTAATAAAAATAATTTTAAAGATAGGAAGGAAGACAAATATTAAAATAAAAATCCATAGTTAGTGCATTAAAAGATAAAATAGCCAACCCATGTCATTAATAGTGGCATAAACTGATTTGAACTTAAACAAATTCATATTTATTTTACACTGTACAATAAAGTCGACAACGACAATAATTTGATGAACAATATTAAAAATGACAAGCGAAGCTATAATGTTAAATAAATCATTAAATATGTGATGATTAAATTGAATTCAAACAAGCCGTAACTTTTCTTTTGCAAAAGTTCAAACACCTAACCTATCATTAATATACCTTAATTAATGCTATTAATACCACTTAATTATTCCTTTTCATGTGAGCCGTCCAACAAAAATAGATACGATAGGGGATACAATAAACTGCTAACATTGCCTCGTACACTCTTACCATGTTTACTGCTCTATTTATTTTTCTCTTTTATTTTTGTTTTTTACTTGCGTTCGAGGCAAAGTACTTGGGGTCAGATAAGCTTGTTTTCATATGAAAAAAATTCTAAGACTTGATTTAAAAATAAAATCTCGTGCATTTTACTGTCAAATCCTACATGACTGTATTATACCACAAGGCCTTTAATTCCTAAGATGCTCCATAGCTGGTACCAATAAAATAGACTCAAGTAATTTAAACTTTGCAGAAAGCAGAAAGGTCAAAACTTATTTACCATTTTATAATTTATGCAAAATATGCTAATTCTTAATAGAATTACGAAGAAGAACTAATTTTATAAGTCAAATTTTCACCATCACCTATATTTTAGAACAGCCCATTTTCCTCAATGGCAAAGAACTTTGTAAGGGCCGTGCCTTTGGTTTTTAGAACCCTTAAGTAAATGAAAATCCATGTAATGATGCATACAATCCCAAAAACAATGGCTAATCCAATCAAGTTAAGCATCGCGATTAGTGTGTCAATAACAATTATGCCACATATCCAAAAAAATGAGGGTGCAAATTGCAATGTATATACCACGAACGGGGGTAGAAATGATTTCAGAGGAGATATTGATAAACATATGTGAACCGATTAACATTAACTTGTCCGAGTTTTTATATTTCATACATGTTTTGGTAGTAATACATGGTTTCAATTAGGCCTTATTCTCTCGAGAATGTAACTATGGGTATCATTTAAGCCCGTATTGCTTCTTTTCTTTTAATGCTAAATATGAAGATTATATTTAGGGAACGTTACATATATAAGGTGGTTAAAATATAACATTTCAAAATTAAGAAATAAGTTATAAAACTTCAAAAACTAGGTTATAATTAAATTTTATTAATTAAATAAATAATAAAAAATATTTTATTAACAAGATATAGTAAGGTCAAAATATTATACAATTTATGGTCAAGTTACGTACTGGTAACAATTACTGAATAT